GTCCCATTACATAAAAGCAGCATTCTACAAACTTTGGGAATAATTGAAGGCTTCCTAAATTTATCAATTTACTATAAGAATACTTCACATATCAACAAATTATTCAGTGTCAAACCATTAGTAATAGCGGCATTGGTGGCGGCAGTAGTAGTAGTAGTAGTAGTAGCAGCAGCAGCAGTAGTAGTAGTTAGTATATAGAATACGGTAACAAATAACATGATAAAAATATAAGACACCAATGTAAAAATTATTTATCATACCACTTGCTTTTCCTAGGTTCTAAGATGGCTTTGGAATTTCTGTAATTTAATTCAACAATTGATCTGGTACATAAAATATCTATTTATTTATTATTTTGGACAGACTTTTCTTTTCCTTGTTTCACGTACTAAAAAATAAATAAAAACAAATATGCGGAATAAAAATAAAAATAAAATTTAGTTTTCTTACTTAGCAAACCTTTTTGCAAAGAACATCCAGATGGAGGAGAAAATAAAAATAACATTTTATTGGTGAATGTAAAATAGGATGGTTAAATGCTTCAAATTTATATAATTAGGAAGAAATATACATATCTTATCTTTGGAGATTTCAAGAAGGAATAAAAAAATAAGGGGGAAAATTTTTTTTTTTTATTTTTTAATTTCCACTTTTTCGTGGCAGCGGGTGCATTAATTGGCCAAAAATAAAATTTTACTTTTATTGGAATTCATCAATATTTGTAATCGGCGGGTTCGCTAAACAAGGAAAAACGTCTTGCCTTAAAATAATTTGACTTATAAACTGGTTGCATATTCTTAACAGTGACAGGAAAGCATTTTGAGATGTTAAGACATGGAAGAGCCAGATAAATAACATTTTATATGATTATTGTGTTTGATATACAAATATAAATCAGAATATAAATATCATGTTGAATTGCCGAGCAGAAAGGCAGAGGCGGCCTTAATATCGGTGTTGGTTCCAGCTGCTCTTCTGCAAGGGTTTGGTTGGTAGAACCAAGTCTTTTCAGATAAGGACTTAAAATAGATGTCAAGCATACACATTTGGCTTGTGTGCACTTTAAAGGACTCATTGCATCTTTTGGAAAAGTAGGAGGGTTACCTTGATGCTTTGGTTCATTTCAGCCCCTGTTGTTGTGGAATGATGTGAAAATGTAGCTATTTGCCTCTTTACTGCTGCTAGGTAGTCACGGACCATGACATACACAATTTAGCACAATGATGCTACTGGTTATGGGTTACTCTCCTACCTTTACCTTAATCCATTATTCAAAATCTTGCAAATGAAAAGAATCAATTTACACCACTGAAAAGTTAAGAGCTGCTTCTCCTTCATGTATCAATATGATTTTTTTCACAAATTTCAATATCAAATATCTTTTGCAATGTAAAACTATGACTTTAGAATGAGAAGATTGGACAAAACATACAAAGACCCAGAAATAAATGGAATGAACTATAAATTGACATCACTTGTTGCAAAAATATACTTTTATTACTTTGAAAAAAGTATACCTTTCAAGTAAATTCTGATGATATACAGTAATTTTGGTCTCAAGTTCAATTCAACTGTCAGGCTGATTCAAGATAAACTTAAGACCATTAATATAAGCATCTTATACTTTCCTGTTAAAGGTTTATTTTGAAGCAAGTATTTATCTTTTAATTTTCATTCCTAAAGTCATAGCTTGCACCTCATTTATACTGACAGTATACTTATACAGTACTTCGACAATTCAAATAAATGTACTCACAAAAATGTATCTCACAGGGCTTGCCCTAACTTTATTTGGTAACTAGCCCACTGGGCTAGTTTACTAGAGATTTTACTAGCCCACAGAATATTTTACTAGCCCACGACAGGAAAAAATTTTGTTTCAAAATATTTATTAGCGACAATTAAATTTGAAGGTTGATTTTCAATTTCTGTAGCATTGCTCTAAAAATATTGTCTATTTCATTTAATTTCATTTATTTATTCGACCAATACACATTTACAAAAGGTACAGTACAACAAAAATTATGGTCAGGGGCAGCTTAAGCAAAATTTTACTATAACTCCTTGAGAGTCAGCTGCCCCATTAATAAATATAAACATAAAAGGCATTTAAATACAATACAATAAATAGCAGAAATAGGCCTATCATAATTTAAAAAAAAAAAAAAAAAAAAAAAATTCAAAATTGCTCTTACCTAGTATGTAATAACTGATATATAATTTATATAAGGAGAAAATTACCGAAATTATCTTATTACAGGTAAGTTTAGATTAATGAAGGGAAAAAAAAAAAAAAAAAAACTTAATGGTATATTAATTAAATACTAATATTTAACAAAGGGCCCAGAAATCAATCAAACCAATGCATCTGTTAAATCTTTAGGTCTCAAGTCACTCGCCCCCAACAGCAATAAATCTTGCTTAGGCCAGGCCAGGCTAGGCTAGGCTACCTAGGCCTAGACAAGACCTAGGGCCTAGGCTAGCCTAGCCTACCTATAGAGGACTTGACAATAACCATTACAAATCTACCACTAGTATTACTATTATTATTAGCTTATTTTACCGAATACCTGCAATACTTAACCTTATCATCATTGATGGCAAAGAATAATGTTTTTAAAGTTAATTAGCAAATCAAAAAAAAAAAAAACGAAAATTTTACAATAAATAATTAAAGAATTCTCATCTGCTGCAATCTAGCAGAAATTAAGCCACTCTTTGCTGTCTACTAAATAGAGGACACTACATAGGGCCAGATGTAACACACCAAGGGGTTTGTGATGTCATACAGGGGCAGATCCAGAGATATCCAAAAGGGGACTGAACATGGGGCTGATCGAGAAAACACCACCCCAGGGGTCCGGGGAATTCCCCCACAAAATTGTTGTTTTTCTAGACATCAAAAAATAACCTCTGAAGTGGTTTAGGCAATCAATTTTTTCTTTTCCTTTCTTTTTCTTTTTTGACTTTCCAAATAGGAGTGGGTCCAAGGCCAGCAAAACCCCCTTCCCCACCCTAAATCTGCCCGGAATATCTCAATCTGAAATTTTTGTTCACACTTTATCTTATGTTTCATTGCACTCCATCCATTGGTTGTAGAGCCTTTTAGTGTACAGAGTTTTTTCAGTTATCAAAATTCATTAAAATTTTGGACAGCCGCTTGCGTTTTTCTGGCTAAGCCTCTGCTTCCCACTAAATCTTCATGTCATATCTTAAATCTGAAATTTTTGTTCACATTTTATTTTATGTTTCATTGTACTCCATCCTGTGGTTGTAGAGCCTTTTAGTGCACAGTGTTTTTTCAGTTACAATCACTGAAGTTAATTTATCAACATGTATTAGATTGACATAAAAGAAAAGAAATACCTTCTGTTAGAGCTTTCACAGCTTGGTGGAATTTGAGTTTCTTCAACTTTTCAATAAATGCTGTCATGTTCTCTTCACAAATGACCATGTCGTGTTCTAGGTCCATAATCAAACTCCAGCTATCTGTATGTTTTACATCATAAAGTTCACTAATCTTTCGTACATCACTTTTAGTGAGCGCCATTCCCAGCTTTACAAGTCTTTGCCGATGTGGTGTGAATTTTGTAATTACACTATCCCTGATACTTTTGGAAATTTTGAATGATGGCATTTGAGTGTGAATTTCTTGTTCCAGACCAAATTGCTCCGTTGCCTTTATAGTATCATAGAGGAGAGTGAGATTATTTGGACTCAGATTTCCTGAACTAATCAACATATCAATTAATTCCATTGTCTTAGAAGACTCATGTAATGCATAAGTATCTTTTACATGGTCCCTGTACAAAACTTTCAGCATATTGATAGATATGTGTTTGTCATACCAATTTGACACCAGCAACTTAAGTTCTGCAAAACCTGCATCATTCGTTTCTACAATATAAACAAAAATAAATGTACAGTAATTAATATCAAAGGTATTTGATATGGCAATTGTTTGGACACAATTAAAGTATATATTGTAGAATTTCTTGATCACAAAAACAGCAAAAATAGTGGTGTAAGAAAAAAGGCCTGAGACGCCTGCTAAGGATTCTTCGGGCACTACTATCCTGTGTAAAGAAAGCCTGGCTGGCTTTGGTGAATTTGATGTTTTTAAAATAAGTATTTTTAATGGTTTTATCAGGGACAAACTCAGCCAATGTATGGTGTAAAAATGCAGATAAATATATTATCCCACAATCCTTTATGGCCTAGTGCCCTGGTTTTAGGTGTTTCTACTAAACACTACTGGGGAACACTGGGGTTTTATACAGTAGTAAATCTTACAACTGGGAAGTACAGTAGGTAATTTTCAGTTGAGTAGACTTCAGAAACTCATTTTTACTCTTTAATAAACAATTACAAGTAAACTCAAATGCTCTCCAGAGGTGGTGACACTTTAGCTGAATCACGGCGTGATTGGGTTTTAGTAGGACTGCTTTTTAGTTTACCTTTACTTATATCCATGTTCACTGTCCTTTGTAGAGCTACTGCTTCAATTTATTCCTTTTATTCATTCCTGAAATAAACAAGAATACTCATTCATAAATATAATAAGGACAGAAATAGTGAAAAATAACAAGCTCATATACGTGTCCTGTCCAGTGCTATGATTCCAAAATTTATGGCTTTTATTATTTTTATTGTGGAATTTTCCTTGCTTTTCTTGATTTTTCCCATCCTTAGCCTTTATATGTATTTTATAATTTTGTAAACTTTTCATAATGTTTTCTTAACTGCCACTTGAAGTATTGAAATAAAAGAATTTGAATACAGTTGCAATGTAATGTTGTTCTCCAGCCAAACTTCAGTGACTACACACATGAACTGCAAGCTGAGTATTTGAAAGTGTAGTTTCATTAATTCTACAGTCTATGCACAGACTACTTAGTGAGTGCCAATGTGTGCATATAAACTTATGAGGCCAGAAGGGCAATGAGAATAATTTTCCAAAAATTTTGCTAACACAAGTATTATGGATCAGAAATTTACTTGAAAAACCTCATGCATTACAATAAAGTATTCACTCATGATGTGTTGTGTAGTGGCCAAAGGGACAGTATTCATTAGGAGAATCATGGATATTAAGGCTATCAAGACTGCAATTGTTTACTAAACCATAATCAACTTCTTTTCACACGCAAATAACAATCTTAAATCTTTTAACACAAAGATAGCCCTCTAATTGGAGACCAACCCCAAGACCACCCCAAATTTTCAGGTCCCAATGGTGGTCTCGAATTGGAGGGTGAACTGTATAACATTCTGTGCATACTGTACATACACTTACATCGTGATGCATTTTGGCCTACAGCACTTTTTTTTTTAAGTTATGACATTTAGCCTCATATTAAAACTCCACCATTACAAACAAATGAAATCAATCATTTGGAAATTACAACTTTTTTATCTATATTTGATGTCTTCTAGTGGAAATCCAAAAAATCACCCTTTTTAGAATGGTTTAATCGCAAACAATTTGTTTCTGTTGGATCATGTAGATTTTTGACGTGGGATATAAGTTGTAGGGTGCCCCAAGGGTCGGTCTTGGGGGCCGTTACTTTTTTAAATATATGTCAATGACTTGACTAGAATTAGTGACACCCTTCAGGTTGTATATTTCATCGACGATACAACTTTTTTTTATTCAAATGAAAACTTTTAATGTTTTGTTCAATACATTTAATGATGACTTAAAAAGTATTGGTTCTTCTGCAGCATTATTTTAAATAAAAATTTTATAGATCGTAAATCTAATACGTCGTTTTTAGGAGTATTCATCAACGAAAATTTAAGTTGGGAAATTACACCAAAATTATGTTGCAAATAAAATTTCCAAATCAATAGGAATTATCAATAGGCTCAAGTTACTCTTTCCAAGCAATATTTTAATCACTTTATACAATTCTCTTATTCTTCCTTATTTGCAGTATCGTCTTGTTTTTTGTTTTTTTTTAATTCTTTATTGATGTTTTTTATGTCTTTAGTGATTTAAAGTTTTATCTTTTATCATATTGTATATTTATGAGGGAGGGGGCAGCTGGCTTGAAAAAGTTATAGTGATTTGTTTGCTTAAGCTGCCCCCGACCATCTTTTGGTCAAATAAATAAACTGAAACTGATATGGGCCTGTGACTATGGATGTATACTTAAGCTTCAACAACGTGCTGTCAGAATTATTTATTAGCTCCATTGCAAGTCACTTCTCTTATGTTTCAATACACAAAAGGTCAACTCCCAACCTCTATATATAGCATTATTTCACGTTTCTAAATCTACACATAGTTATTAATTTAAAAACTCAAATTCACTTCACGTTCTTTTTGTAAAACTGAGTGAAAGTCAATTTTTTATTTCTGTATACGGACTGAAATTATGGGATGATACAAAAGTTAAGTTTAAAAATTGTAATAATATCCATATTTTTAGAAAGCAGAATTATTATTTAGAATTGTACCATTCATAATTTATTTCTTACTTATATTTTATATTTATTATTATTATTTTTTAATTATTTATTTGTCTTGTCAGGGTCAAACTGAGACAAGCTCTACTTCTACTTTTTATCCCAATTAATTCATTTTGATGTTGGCCTAATTTATGTAGTAAATATTATATTTTTTATTAATTAATTGAATAAATGTTACTCAAAGAAATGAAAAAAAGAACAGGAGGTCGGGAAAATTTGGATTCCTAAATGGCGGGAAAGGAGCTTTCCCGACTTCTGAAGCGTCTTTTAATGACTTTTAAGTTCTTCAAAATTCAAGGTTTTATCCACTCTTGAATTTAGATCCTAATTGCCTTTTCTTGTTCTGGCTTTAAAAAAAAAACCTTCATGAAAAATAAACCGGATTTTGATGAGAGTGAAATATTTATTTGGTTTTAATTTTAATTTTTAGTTGAGATCAAGTGCTACCAAGTTCATTTTGTCAGTGGTTACAGGCCGGAGCGTATTGGTAGGTAGCGCTGCATGTTGTTAATATACTTTAAGGCCTACCTGTATTATTCATGAATATCTTTTCTAAAAAACAGCAACAAAATACCAATAACACAAGTTGACTATTATAGTATAGGTTAATACCTAGGCGTGGCCGGTTACTTCCATAGTAGTATAGATAGTAGTAATATAGATAGGCCTAGGGCCAGCTGGCTTACATCAATCTCAGCATAGGCCTAGGCTATGCTACACATACACACGGTTCTGGCCGAAAACAATCCAGGTTTTTGGCAGGAGCGGACCGCCACAATTAGTCTAGCCCTGGCCCCTGGCTAGGCATAGAGTTATAATTATTTTGAGAACTCCATGGGGTAGGTACACCTAGACCTAGTCCCTAGCCATAGCCAGCCTAGTTAGGCCTAAAGTATAGAATTTAGCATTCTAATTTACATACATATTTCCAGGCAAGATCCTGTACGTCTGGTGAGTGACTGTGGCCGCTCTAGCCCGGATGACTCGACTACTCTTCTATTTTATTTGTAACATGGCCGCGGTGGACATTGGCAGTGGTAGGGGATTCCCCAAACATGATGACGTAAGGTCTTGAACTTTCTCTGCCGGTTTGCAAGCGGCGTTCTACTACGATACGACAGCCTATTCGTGAATTCGTAATTTCGAATTAGTAATTCGTAATTTCGAATCACTAATTCGTAATTTCGAATTACTTATTCGAATTTCGAATTACTAATACAAATACTAATTTGTAATTTCCGAATTAGTAATTCGTAACTTCGAACCTGTGGACGATAATAATGCTTGAATAAGCGCCGCACCAAATGTGTTTTTTTTTTCGTTATGAAATCAGTTGTCTTCAATTAGCTAAGGCCTAAATTCTCGTTATGAAATCAGTTGTCTTCAATTAGCTGAGGCCTAAATTCAAATTCACAACGAAGCCTCAGTGGCCCACGGTTTAGTAAAGTTGCATGGGGCTGTGGTTATTCAACCATGGTTTTATTAATTAAATGTTGATGAAGATATCCACCATTTAGTTGCCCTGTCATTCAACAATACTTATACACCTCCTGTTTTACTCCTACACTTTTAGAGTAATTTGGAGGTCGATCTTTACCCACCAGAACCTGAACCAGTTCTAACATACGCATTTATGAATTTAAAAGTTTAATTAAGTCGAATTAGCGGAGCTTAGCGAAAAAAACATAGGTTTGGTGTGGCACTTCTTCGAGAGCGGTGCTTAATAAAGCATTTACGTAGTCCAGTATATTTCTTTTGTTGCTGCTAGTTAAGTCACACTTTATTATTTAAGGGCCTTTACATAGATTTTTTGTTTATTTTAACTTTGCTCAACTCATATTTTATATGTATTCTATTTTAATTTGGTTTGTAAACGCACAAATTTTTTAGTGAGTGCCACCATTTCGAAGGTGTATGTTCGAATAAATAAATATTAAAAAAAAAACAAAAAAAAAACACTAGATATTTCTGTTAGAATGTAGAATGCTGCGAGGTTCTGTAATTAAAATGTTAGTGATTATCATTAATATCGTGTTTAAATTCTAGTTGTTCAAGTTCATATAAGGGTTCACTGCTTTTTGTTTATTATAAAATTCCTAACACTAAAATCATAGTCTAATCACTAAAAATCGTTTGATTTTGTTGCGATTTTATTATCTTTCTGCGATGAAAGTGAATTAGTAGGCCTATGTATGCACCATCAATGCAAACCACGGGTGTCTATAAAACGAAGATCTCTGGTAATTTCACAAACAAAAGCTCAAATAATCTCGTAATTATGATTTTGTGACAGCCTGATGTAGTATCATTTTTAACAAATTTAAAAATGTGGGTCTTCGGTCTTTGTTTTGTAGACACCCATATTGGGTGTCTATAAAACGAAGACCCTCTAAAGTAGTTGTTGATATTCCTCATTTTATTCCGATGAAATAATTAAATATGTGTTTGGCAACTGTTTTATGATGATTTTGAAATATTTTCAATAAGATAATTGAGAAATAATTGGATGTCTTCGTTTTTCGGGTCTTCGGTCATATAGGGTGTTTATAAAACTAAGACCCTTGAAAATGTCAATAACAGATGCTCAAAAAATGTTGTACTTTTTATTTTGTGACAACCTGGTGTATTGATAGTAATTGTTATTGTCGTGATGGAATAATAGACAATAACTGGATTTGCGTCAGGAGAAACATGTATAGGTGTAATTTTGCCCTACCTGACGTAGAAATGTACCGAATACTCAGTACATTTTAAAACAGCTGCGAAAAAAATCGCAAGTTGTTCTCGGGTGGGACTCGAACCCACGATCTCCAGATCACTAGCCTGGCATCATACCTCTAGACCACCGAGCTTGCGCCTGATGGCCAGAGTTGAATTCGAGTCCAAGTAAGCAGCGGGTACTGCTGCTTACTTGAACGTGGGACTCGAACCCACGATCTCCAGATCGTGGGTTCGAGTCCCACCCGAGAACAACTTGCGATTTTTTTCGCAGCTGTTTTCAAATGTACTGAGTATTCGGTACATTTCCACGTCAGGTAGGGCAAAATTACACCTAAACCTGGTGTATTATCATCAAAATAAAAAAGAAAAAATAGGGGTCTTTCGTTTTTGGGTCTTTGGTCGTCGGTCTTCGTTTAGACACCCCATGGTTGGAGTTGAGGTACCCCACCATGGTTTATGATTATGGCATCTCTAGATGGCGAGAAATGGAACTCAGACTTAAATTTGCACATAAATGTTTTACAAATTTTGACGAATTTAGTGAGCCAGACCAGTGCTTCCTCCTCCCCCATTAAATCTGCCACTGACAATTAATCAATATGCCTAAATTAAAATTCAAGAGTCTGTAGAATCAATATGAACATCAATTTGTGTTCCCCTGTTCGCACCAGATTTGTTTTCCCACAATACTAGGTCTAAAGTCAGCATGAGCTCAAGAAGGATATTCAAGTTATTTTGATGTTATTTGAATCTTTTGTGCTTGGACTGTAGCCAACACAGTAACTCTCTTAATTCTTAATTTCCTTCTGAATGCATGCTTGTATGTAGCATTTGACAAGGTAGTGCTAACTATAAAACAGTTACCACTACAAGTAAGATGTTATGATCATTTGAAAAAGGGGAATAAATGTTTTGTCTGTGTGGGTTTTTTTTTTGTAAAAACAAGCATTTTTTATATGAACAAAATAAGCAAAAATACAATCTAATTTTTGTTTTTTTTAAATTGCAAATTTTAAGGTTCCATAATTTATTTAAAACTAAATTTCTTTTACTGTGTTTGATCTGAGGCACTGTACCTTGGGAATTAAGATGGTCGCCTTTTGCATGTGGGTTAATTTATGACTTAAACCCTCCGCCATAGTGTGGCCGCTGTAGTGCCTGTGATTGTGAACTGAATCTGTAATAAAATGTTAAGAGTTTTTGATTTCAGGCAGTGTTCATACAAGTGTTTGACATAATATAGTTGCATTCCTTTTTATTTATTTATTTTTTAAATTTCTTTCAGATTAATTTCTACTTGAGTACGAGTGTAACAACATTATTTGATTTTGAAGTGGCTCACATGTTTCAGCCCTAGGTGCAAATTTGTCGTGGCTAATAAATTAATTAAATATTCTGGCTGCCTGTCATCAATATTTGATGGTACCAGGCCTGATATACCAAGTCAACTGATTTTTAGTTACCTTAAAATTAAAAGTTAAATAAATGAATACAGTATTGAAAATAGTGTGTTTTAAATTCCTACTAAAATAACAAAGAAGATTATTTCCTAATATAAATTTTTAGCAAGATTATTTTATGTTGTATTATAGGTGTCATAGAATCCGAAAAATCCAAATCATAGAAAACCAAAGTTTTCACCAATTTACAAACCTTAACAAATCCTTAAATTGCTTACAAGCCAATGGGTCTGTATTGTATGTAAATAAATATACAGTGGAAATAGATTATGTGTTGGTTTATTAGACAAGTAAAATAATAAAAAAAAATTTTTTAAATATTAAAACAATCAATTGAAGCTAATATAGCCTACGGTAATTTATAGTTATATAGCCTAATTATATGGTAGTTAACTAAGTAATATAATTCGTTTCTTAATTTTATAGAATTGCATTTCAAAAGGTACCGTACTTATTTGCAAAGCAGTAGTCTTTGAGCTGTGGTTGTCTGACATTGTCGGGTCAGGCACATAAACAAATAATCAAGCCTATCACAATATAGCAAAAGTGTGATTGGTTAAATTGTTTGACCCTTGACATAGGGATGTACAGTTGAAACTACCAGTTTCATATTTTTTCTGTATATTGTTTTATATTTTTTTTAAATAATTTATAGACTTAAGAAACCACTAAGATTGAAATTATATTTTGTGTGTTGTTCTTTCCCTATAGGCAATGTGACTCTAACATTTTTTTTTTATGTTGTCATTTCAATATATACTGTATGTATTGCTGTCTTGTACGAGGGATTAAAAGTTATGCGAGAAACGTTGCTGCGTCGTTCCGTTGTCAATGTACACTACAAGACCAAGCAGGTTGCAAAGGGAAGTAAGACTGTTTTGACACATGGTGCAGGAGAGTAAGTAATAAAAGAAAAAAAAGATTATTTAATAATTTTGTGATCTTTTAATTTTTGTTATAAATTTTAATGTAAAAGCGAGACGATGCAATATATTTCACTGGCTGGTTGGACAAGACTGAAAAAGGGAACCTAATCACTATTGCATTATAATGTGATCCTCTACCACTTTTTTCACATATAATGTAAAATAAAACTCTTTTTTTATGTTTTTATTTCATTTTTTTACAAAAATATAAGAATATACTATAATTTGAAATAATTTGCATTGAGCAAAGGTCTTCAACAATTAAAATTCCTATAAACTATTTTGTTATATATTTGTATTTAAAAAAAAAATGGAGGTTATAACATTTTTCTTTTTTAAAATTTTATAAGAGCATTACATTATCCTGATCATTAGAAACATCAATTAATCATGCAATCTTCTATTTCCTGGAGGGCAATTCCATAAATTCAGAATAGACCAATGCCTTCAGCATTTGGAATACTCACATCAAGTAATTGTTATTCCTGCATCTGTAAGATTATTACACAAAGCAGAAAGTTGAATAAGTGTGCTGGCGCACTTCATTCAAATCAAATGTGTTGTTGAAAAAATGATCCTCAAATCAGAGAGCACATGGTGTTTTTTTTTGCTTTGTTTAAGACTATGATGCACCACAATATTAGAGAGCTTTAAAATGATACCCACATTGCCAGACAGTGACTGGAATTGCTGCATGTACTTAATATTATCAAAGTGCATAAGAGCTCCTCCTTACAGAAGCCTGTTAGTGCCACCAGTGAATTAAAATTTCAGATCTGTTAACTGGCGGCCGCCAGATAATTAAGTGGCGGCCGCCAGATAATTATGTTGCGGCCGCCACTTATTATCTGGTGGCCACCACTTAATTATCTGGCTGCCGCCAGTTAACGGATCTGAAATTTTAATTCACTGGTGGTACTAACGGGCTTCCGTACCTCCTTGACAGTTTCATGATGATTGTTTTTTGCAGAACTCGCTGGCTGAGCAGTGCGCACTTCCTACAGACACTCTTGCATGTAATCCAAGTCACCATCAGCTACTTCCTCATGCTCATCTTCATGACATATAATGGCTGGTTATGCATCGCAGTTGCACTTGGAGCTGGTACTGGTTATTTTTTATTCGGTTGGAAAAAGCCATTGTGGTGGATATAAATGAACATTGTCATTAATCATACTTATATTTTTAAGATGGTATTTTTAAAAGAATGTTTTTAAAAAAATTATTTTAGATGAAGTGATTTTGATATGAAAATTCAACTCCAAAATATATAGGTTTGTCTGGAACATCAGTTGTTTCAAAAGTGACACAGATTTTACATTTATTTTAAGCGACTGATACAATAATCTTGACCAATATATACATTAGATTTAAGTATTAACGTAGTCAGTACTTGGTTGAAATGGAGATTCTTATACTCTTGGACATCTACAGTAAAAATTCACAACAGCTAATTCCAATTCAGTATAGTGGCGCCCACTTCTGCTGTTGTCGGGGACATTCCCCCACCCTTCCACCAGGGACATGGAGGGACATCATAGCCCTGTGAGGCAAATACTGGAGCCATCACTGTTCCATTTGGTTTCATTTCCCTAGTTCCTTACTGGAATTTTCAAAAATGTAGTCATCCATTTTGAAATAATATAGCAAATATGGTTTTTCTTCCGAATTATAAACTTTTACCAATGGTGCTATGTGATTAGTAAAAGTTTTTTTTTAAGGAATTTATATTTATGATAACATTGAATTCAAACCCTTAAACCCAGATGCAAATGATTCTTATTGTTTTATTGTTTGTGTGAAAAGATTTTAGTTTTGCATTATTACACTATAATTTGTTATACAGGTATTGTATTCTAATTTGTTAAATTTATTGTGTGTAGAAATTTACTTTAATATACTGTTAAGTGTATATTAGTAGAATATTAAAGTTAATTGCAACACAATAGAAATAGATGTAATATAACGTTAATATTCATGTTGACCATTTCATACCAATCAACCAACATTTTTCTCTCAGTTTTTTAAACTACATTTTTTTTTTAATCCAATACAATTCATTTAAATAATACACTTGAAAACAATAATTTATTTTTTCTTTTTTAATAGCAAAATCTTTGACCAAATCTTAGCAAATATGCAAGTGCTAGTATAATGTTGTTGGTGCTGCTAAGGTATGTCACCCATGTACCATTTGCAGCTTCTCTAAGGAGGATTTTGAGTTGACTTCAACCATGGAATCTGCAATTAGAATGCAAGCATTTTCACCATAAAGCTGTACTTCATTTCACTCCGATAAGTCAGGAATACGGGATAAAATTGTTATTTGATATTTCTGTTTTCCATTATTACTAAAGAACCTGCTAGAAATATGTTGATTAAAAATATATTTACAGTTAATGTACTGAGTGTAATATATAGTACTGAAGTGTTCAAATTTTGACATAAAACATCACCATATATTTCCGAATGATTTCAGTTTTTGCAGCAAGTTTGCTGCAATCTTCTGATAGATCTACATTATTGTTTTTGATATTGTATTTTTTTCATTTTTTTTTTTGCTTTGTCAATGAAATTGACAAAATTCTTTTTTGTTTTTCTCATTAGTACACTGAAGAATGTATGCCACTAAATGATATTAAACATATTATATATGTTTAATCTCTTATATGTAGAAATAAATTTTAAACATTGATCCATTCTGTAAAGTCCTGTTATTCCCAAATTGTTCCTATTTTGGCAATTGAGTTTTATTTTTTGTATGTAAATTAATGAAATAAGTGCCTTTAGGATTAATATGAATCAAGCTTTCTGTACAATAGCGGACAAATTACAGCATTATGCTGTATTTTTTGGTAACTCTCTTACAATAGGTAACTTTAAATGACCTTGTACATATATCAAGCATGCTTTCACATCTTTAGAAATATATGCGATAAAATTATCCAATATAAATATATCTTCAGTAATATTCTATACTTATATTATGTTGATGGCACAAGCCTGATGATGATGATGATAATAGAGACAGTGGCGTAACAGATAGGTCTGAGGCCCCTGGAATGCTTCTTTGGGGGCACACTACACTGGGAAGAAGCCCTGCACGCTTCAGCATATTTCATGTTTTAAGGAAGTACTGTAGTTTGACATCAGTGCTCCTTAAAATGGCCCCAGATAAATATCCTGTGCAGGCAATGAGAGCTAACAGCGTAATTATTTTCTGTCAAAGATATAGAAATCGTTTTTGATGGATAATTTAGCAATGTCCAGATTCCACAGGATTTTACTGGATAATTACATTCATGTAGTTACATATTATTCTATTGATATTCTGAAGAATAAAACTGTCATTAGGTGTTCTGATTAAAGGTTCAATAAATGTACTTGATTTGCGTAACTTAAAAGACTAAGCATATTTCCAGTTTAATTAATTAATTAATTATGACTTGTAAACTTAATCACTATTATTGCACAAACCAGTGTTGGCATCGGTAAAAAAAAAAAACTATATATATATATTTATTTTATTGCTAGTGATTTTTAGATTATGGGATATTTATAAGTACAGGTAATATGGACTATAAATGAGGTTTTTTTTAATATAGAGCAACCTTGAAATACTGAGCTGTTAATTCCAAGTAGTTATTTTATTATTAATTATTAGAATGCTAATTTATGTTAATAACAGCAGCATGAAAATATATGCTATATATTCAGTTTTATGTTAACTTTATTTTTATATAAGCTGCCCTCCAATAAAATACTCTCCCACTTTTGTGACTAAAGTAATAGCTCTAAACGATAAAATGTTGCAGAAATTGCCTTTAAATTTAGGTGGTATATTTAATTAGAGGGAAACCTGTATTTATCAAATTTATAACTACCATTTATTTTGTTATACCATGGAGGTATTATTGAGAAGGAGATCACTCGGCAAAGCTACGCGCATGCAGCGCTATGCAAATGAACCAAGATCAAAGTTGCCGCAGCGCGTAAAGAACGTTTGCGCGATGCCTTTGAAGTCCCATGTGTTCCCCGCCATCAAATTTTCAACAGACATAGTTGACCAAAATATTGAACATGACGAAATGGAGAGCACCTTCTTTTCTCAATGCGCACTACATACTGTCAATCACTATGGCTGCGCAATCTTTTCTATTTTGAAGCTGATACATTTATCTCTCATAAAATATCAAACATATTAATATCTGTCTCTTATACACATCTAGATGTGTATAAGAGACAGGCTTTCGTACGTTTTCAGGCCCGTAGCGCGACTTAATTTGTGGAA